CAATAAGAAAAATGCAAAGAGAGAAACGTGGGAACGAAAGTGAGAGAAGATTTCCCTCTATTAACTACACTGAGAAAAGTTTTATTTACGACTGTAATTGTATGTAAAACAATATAATTTTACAATCATTTTAAGTGACAATCATATATTCTTTTTATAAAAATATGAATATAATCATTACTAATCATTACTAATCATTATGCAGTAACAATTATAAAATTGAAATTCCTACACGAAGAGAATTTTTTTTTAGAGCTTACCCTGAAAATATGATAGTTGTGGGACATTGTATTTCAAAAAATTTTAATGTAAATCTCTCTTATTCGTTAATAAAACTACAATAAAATATAAAATAAGTTTAATTAATTTTACTGAAGTGCATTGTAAAAATCTTCAAAATATTGTGTTGTAAATTTTAAAAGAAAATTTTCTCCATGTATCATAATCAGTTTACCATGCAATTATAATAATAAATAAATACTTTTCTCTCAGGATGGCATTTAACACATTATATAATTCGCTTTTAGGACATATTTTTTATTTATTCTGAGATGAAAGAACGAGAAAAGGTAGAGAGGAAGGGAAGGATGGAAAGAGTAAGAGATAACAGAAAGTTGCTGCCAATATCCTAAGTATCTTATCGGCGAATGGAAAATGAATTCACTGGCGTTTCACGGAGCGACAACGTACGGGCCCTGCCGTCATAAATCCAGCACTTCCGGCCCGCAGCGGGAAGTAATATCGAAGTTTGTGTCGCGCGACCAGCGCACGAGCCACGTCTTTCTCTTTTCCCGCGGTGCAGCTTCGATCCGCCGCTCGTAAACTTGCCGTCAGTCCCATCCGCGTCACTCTTTGATACACGATATATCGGCGCGAGAATGGCATCCAAGCGCCACGAATTTATTTATGTAGACGATCCGACGGAACTCGGATACGAGCACGTCGCATTTCACGTCACGGCACATAAACGGCACGAGAGTACGTTGAGTATGTTCAGTGAAGAAAAAAAAAATCTACCGAGTGCAATTACGAGGTAACGACAAGCGTAAACCAGATTTAGCCGCGAATGCAAAATTACGCAGCGAAATTTAAAAGGAAGCTTATACACATTGGGCTACGGAGATTAACTACTTGATAATTAAGTGAAGAAAAAAAATTGCGTAACTTTTGATGCCACATCGCCATTCATTATTGCAAATTCGTGTAAAAAGAAGTATGTAATTATACAAATAATATGTGTGAAAATTATACAATTCGTGATGGAAATACATGTATAAAATTGTGTTTTTACAAAAATTAGTACTTTTACTTTTAAATGTTTAAATATATCTTATATTTAAACATTTCGAACCATTTGCAAGCTATTATAGTATCTATTGTATCATATATTTTAAGTCTATTACTTTATTAATATGTAGTCCAGTCATAGAACTTTGCAATAAAATAAAATAAAATATTATATGAAAAATTACACAATAACAATAGTATATTTTATAGTTTTCATGTAAAGTAAATAAAAAATGTTTGTATTATATAATATTATGGTAATATATCACACATTTGCATTTTTATGTTCGTTCATATCAATAACATTCTAATTTAAAAAAAAACTGTTATTTAGCGATTTAATGCGTAAATATTTCTATAAATTCATTTTTGCGAATTGTTTAGTTACTATAAAGAAGAATACTTTTATTTGTAATTGTGACTTTATTTTACGTGTACATAAATTATACACCTTTAATAACGGTTTCAAAATTACCCATCATAATTGATGTGATTTTTATATATAATTTTTATACAGTGTAATCAACACGCTAAAGTTCTTAAGTTGTTACAGCTATCTATTCACCTCGACAGCTTTAAAATTCAGTTTAAACGTTCAAGGGCAGCTTCTAAACGCGCTTCAATTTCCGGACTTAAGCTCTGAGTTTGGCTGGAGAACACAAGATCAACGACGATCCGCCCCTAAGTCGCCGTAGGCGAGAAACGCGAAGGCAAATATCGCGCGTTAATTAAAGGTACGTGACGGATATAACGGTTGTGTGTGTGTGTATGTATGTGTATGCGTGTATACATTCGTATGTATGCGCGATATCGTTTAAGATATAAAATTATCATCGCGCGGTAAACGCGACACTCGGTCCGCTCGAGGTAATAAATGTTCCTACGCTAAGCTCAGCAAGTAATTACAGTGTACTTCCTGCTTCGCAGTGATATACCTATGCTAATACAGTGCGGCAGCAATTAAAGAGCCATTCCAGCGAGAGCATCTATTAAAATTGTACGAGATACTTGGGTCTTAAGTAAATTATATCAGACGTCTCGAAGGACGCATACCGTTTATAGCTTAATATTATCAATCTATTAATAATTAAACTTGAAGCCCAGTATAGTCGCGGTTTATTAATTAGCGAAATAACTTACAATTAGATTACATATACATGCTCTAAATTATTTTGAGAACAGTAATATTATTGACAACATGTTCTTCTCTGTAAAGAAAAGTAGAATTTTATCGTAGAAGAGACGCTTTGATTTTTGCATTATTTACAGAAAATTTATATCAAATTTCTATCCTATTTATAATTAAATTTTTGCTATGAAGAGTCTATATTCGTGCGACTTAAATTTTAAACGACTGTGTTGTCTGAAACGTAGTACGACACGTATCGCGTCGACAGCGATTCGTCTAATTTTATCCAACTCGCTAGATTTGTTTTCAAGCTTGAGAGATGGTAAAAAGTCATTGCACGTACCTGCCACTTGAGAGAACATAGTTTCAGAAGCATGGATGCAAGGCACGGAACAGGGGGGGTCCTTGAAAGCCTGCTGCAAATATAGAGCAAGTGTACTTTGGTCCGAGAGAAAGATCGGGGACAGTTCCTCGAGTATGCGGTTCTATATAACGATGAAGACCTGTATACAGGACAAAATCGATGTCATACGACAGGGACACACTGGATCGAATTCCGCGATAACTAACTGGGACGGAAAGAAATATATCCCAGGCAGAAATTCGTTAATACCGCTCCATTAATATCGCTTTTATTCGATCAAAAAATAAAAAGCGCTCTCTTAAGCACGAGAGAAATTTAAAAAGGTTGAGCGATATTTTTTGCAACAACTTCTTTACAATGTTTTAAAGTTCACTCAATAGCAGTATTATTAAATTGCTTGTCAGTTTAATTTGTGATATTATACACTCCTGTTTCAATTTAGGAGTTTGTTTCAAGGCTGACAAATAATAGCGTGAAGTTTTCTTGAAGTGAAAATTATAAAATTCAAAAATTATTATTAAGCATCAAGATTCGTTTTGATTAAATATGGCCTTCTTCGAAAATTTATTGAACATTTCTCGGTTGATTTTTATTTATTGTTTAAGGAATGTATCAAGTGTAGACTTTGAAAAAGTAGAATTGGAAATTTATACTTTCCATATAAAAATAAATGTTATACACGTATAAAATAGGTCAATGTTTATATTTAACACAATTTTATAGTTTAAGTGAAAATTTTTCCCTTTCATCTTAAGAATTTTTTAAAAACATGTCTATTTCTTATTAATAATTTTCATCCAGATTCTAAATCATTGTTAAACTTTTTGTATTATTTTAAGATGTAAATATAATATTAAAAATTAGTAATTTTTCATAATTTTGCATCTTATTAAAAAATACGTATAATACATTCTTAAAGATCGAGATGCACCACAAAAAATTAAATGCTGTTCATCTTACTTATTTAAAATTTTAGTCTCATTTTTAATATATAATATATAAAAATGTTATAAATATAATATAAAAATACATGTGAAAATAATCGAGTCATAAAAATGACGAAAGAAGGAAAACAAATTTCTGTACTGCTTTAAATATTCTTTGTATATGAAATACAATTTCAAATAATCCTTGAAATACGATATGATGTAATAAATATGCATATTCTTAAATTATAATATGCACAAAATATTTCGAAACAGTAGAGGGAAAGCTATTCCCTTGGAACTGTCCATAATAAAAAATAAAATCGATACGGCCGCGATGGATGGTACGGATGGAAAATTTTCCTACGGAAGAGCAACACACGCGTTGAAATATTGTTATATATATTTCACAATATATTCCTGGAATATATGGATTTTTAGATGCGGGAGCAATATTTCCTAAAAAAAAAAAATATATATATATATATATGTACAAAGCTCGCGAATATGAAGTTGTGCATCTGCATCACATATTGTGTCAAACAACGAAACAGAATCACCATCATAAACGAAAATATCGTTAGTTGGTCCCGTTTTGCGAAAATACGATCCGACGGTTCTCTCCACGCTTTATTAATTCGGCCTTCTGTCCTGATGGGAGAATTGCGGCTTTTCATTTTTCGACATTCGTCGAGACGAAAAACGTTATATTAACAAAAAAAAAAAACGAAAATTGAACTCGCATTTTTGTCACGTCCATCCGGAACATGTCGTTCGGGCATAGATGACTTTTATAAGCGGCGCAATCAGACGCTAATGATCACCGCGTTCGCATTCGGATTATCTGAATCCACAGATCAATCGATTGGTCGATCTATTCGCGGCTACCGTCGAAACGCGGCACGCCGTCCGAGCTAATTCGTCTGTCACGTAATTAGCTTCGTTTATCGGCCGGTGCCGCGTTCGTTCCCGACCCGTGTTACCAGGCGTGGGTGTAATCCCGACCTGGCTGCCGCCGGTGCAAACAATTAACGTTGTTCCCGGTAACTTCGGCGTGATTACCGCAATTTTCGCATGCCGATACTTCGCCAAACCGGCCCGCGGCGACGTCACGATAATTTCATCGCGGAAATGCGCGCCGAAGCGCGACGGAAGTTTCGCCACTATAGCGGATCCACGGAAGAAGCCATGAAGACCGTAAGATAGATGCCTCGATAGATATCTCGAAAGATATTATATTTAATATTATTTAAAATAAAATGTTATATATATTTTTTTAATATTTCTGAAATGTTTAATCTCAATTTTGATATTTGAAAAATATTTTTTAATTTATGAAACTCTTATAAATATGAAAAAATATAGATTTTATTATATTCTTCTTTTGTTAATATAATTTTAAGTAATAGTTTAATATTTTATATCAAATTTTAAGATTCACAAACTTAAAAATAAAAATATAATCTGTTCAAGGTTAATAAGAGTCAAAGGTTCCAACGATTAAATTATAATTTATATTATTAAATTAATTATTTTTCATAACCTTCTTTATTATATTATTGACTCTTATTAGCTTTGAACGGATTGTTTATTTTTATTTTTAATATTCTATTTTTTCGTATTTGATTTTAAAAAAAAATTGGCTTGCCAATGGCCTTGACAAATATCTAAATCCGCCAATGAGTTTCGCTCGACATTACAATGACAAGGACGATCGTGCAGCTTATTATCGTATTATAATTCTCGCCGGGGTCACTCCGTGTTCCAATTTGTCGAAGCTAAACGTGCATTAATGTCCGCCATAAAGCTGAGCGAGGCCGGAACGAGCTGAAGAAATTTAACGAAGGGGAAATGTTACAAAGATGAAAAAAAATCTAGGAGATACGAAAGGCAGTAAAAGTGAGAAAGACGCCGATATTTCGAACGGCCTACATCGCCAAACTCTAACGAGTAATGCCGGGGATAATGGAAGGAGTCTTTTATTACGTTTTTTTATTACTTCGTCCACGGGCGGACAAGGATGGTTATTTTCGCGGGGGATTTCGCGTAACGGAAATATATTGTGCGGACTATGAAACGTGTAAGGTGAAGCGGAGAGAAAGGAGAAGTTTATTATGTCTCGGAAAGGGAAGGAAGACAGGTATCCCTTGCGACTGGAAGCGGAAATTAACAAAAACTTCACCTTCTCTGGGAAAAATATAGGAGGACAAGGGTCGACAAGAACATCCAAGGGCCGATTGGCTAATCCGATTGGGTAAAAACAGACAGAAGTTACGTGGACGATATGTCCCGTGTATAATAAAGTATGATACACTGTGAATTGAACACAAATACACGCGCAATGAAGTCTTGCACAATTGGCAATGAATAAAAATAATTAAAAATGTAAAAGCGTGTCCATTCCGAGAGGAATATCATAAACTTTCAATGCTAAGCTCAGTATCACTGTTCCTTGAATTTCTTGTGCACAATGAAACTCGACATAAGTAAATTAGCGAAATACTAATTTGACTTGTGCGTGGTGAAACTTCAGAGCTTTAATTTCTTGAACTACTGTGCAAAATCGCGACGTACGTAATAAAATCTTCATGTGAAATGAATGTAATGTGGAGATAGAAATGAAGGTTTTCTCTCCAAATTCTTGCATGAATGGTTAATTAAAGTATCTAAAAATTTAGCTAGATATTCGTGAAAATAATTTTATTAAAACGTCAAAATACATAATTGAGGTGTGCGACTACAAAATGTATTACAATTTGTTAAAATTGTAAAAATGCATTTTATTGTACACTAAAAAAATTTACTGAATTTTTATAAATATTTGTTTAAATATTAACTAAACATTTACTTACAATAAATAAATATTTACTTAACAAAAAAGTGACTTAGATCAAATTAATGGTTCTTGTGTCAAATAAATATACGTTTGCATTAGTAAATATTTAGTTATAAATATTAGTAAATATTTGTATTAGTAAATATTTACTATCCAACAAATATTTATTCAAATTTAACATTTTTTTTCAGTGTATAAATTGGGTTGTAAATGCTGTGTTCTATCATATTAATATTTGACGTGGAAATACACGAGTGGAAAAAAATAGACAGTGTAATTCAAAACGTTGTAAGTCCATTATTGCAATTGGAGTTTTTATTTGGACTAAAAATTGATATTTCGACAATTTAAACTCGACTTTTTTTATAGTAAAATTACTTAAAAATTTTTGTAGAAACTTGCTTGTTCATATCTTTACGATAATTTTTTCAAGTGATAGTTTAAAAAAACAATATTATTAAAAAAAATAAGTTCTCCCT